GTCATATTCACTATCAAACAAGAAAAATAACCCTCATGGCACATACCTAAACTAGTGCCACAATACACTCCTGGCAGCAACTCTTGTTTGTCTACCAACCTTATGCCCTTCTCTTTCGTAGGCACTTTAATTACACTTTCACTAAAGGGAGGTACTACTTTAGAACAAGTCATCATATAACCATTTTGGAGCAACCATTCTTGACCTAATATTAAATTTAAGTTTCTAGGTAAACGATCAACAATGTAAAACAACATTTCTTTACTGTCGTTAACTTGCAACATTATTCCTTTTCTAATGAGCATATCGCTTCCATTAATACCTCGTATGTTCACATTTATATCTCTATATTTCTCTTTGGGGATACTTTTCCTTAAACTACTTTCTCTTACTAGCGACACTTGTGCTCCAGTGTCAATTAGACCTGTGCCTATTTCATTTTGTAACTGGGGGCTTGTTACAAAAACCTCATATGGTCCTAACCCTCCCTCGGGTTCACTTATAAATTCCACCTCTAGCCTTCGCTGAGGCGCGGTCTCGCTGGACCCACTTATTTCATGCGCGCTATCCGGCGCACCCGCCAGTCCCCGCTGGCTAACGTGCCGTGCATTTCCGTCTCTGTGTTTATGCACCGACTTCGGAGCGTCCTCCCTCTTATTGAATGCGAGAGCGTCCCCTCGGCTTACATCCGCCTCCGGGTGCGGCATTACTTCGCCGTTCACCCCTGGTGCGGCATTCTTATGCCCGCCACCTTCACTTACTCTGCAGCCGTCCTTACTGCAGGTACACCTCGGCTGCTCAGGCTTCCCTGCTGCCAATTTCCCTGTTCTCTACATTTTGACTCCAAGTGTCCCTTCCTACCACACTTGCGGCACTCAACAAAACTCCTACACTCCCTCGCGAAGTGTCCCAATTTTTCGCACCTATAGCATTTCATAGTGGACGTTACATTTACTTCCCTTTTAATTGGCGGCAGTCGATAATTCTGTCTTTCTTGCTTCACATCTCGTTGATACCAAGGGGTCGTTGACCCTAAATTTGCCTTAAATTTCTGGGACTTTAATTCACATTCTTCCTGAATGGCTGTTTCAACCATCTGCGCTAGGGAGTCCTCTTCCCCTTTTGTCTTAACTATTACTTTAACCCTTTCGTCTTTCAGACCTGCTACAAAAATTCCTTTCAAAAATTCACCAATCAATTTCAATCCTCCCTCTACATAATGACCGTGCTCCCTTTCTTCCAAAGTGCGGAGCCTTTGCCTAACTTCCCTTCTAAGGTCCATAGCTACGGCGTCTAGCCTGGCGCCCCACTGTGCTACTGTTTCTGTAGGTCCCTGTCTGGAATTGAACAAAGTACCTGTATAATATTCTAACGTCCTCTTCACTAAATAGTTTTCTTCTAAAATCCCTTTAATCTGTGCCCAGGTATTCCTTTCTACTCTGGCCAACAACTTGTCTTTAGCATCACCCTGTATCTTAGCAGTGATGAATTTCAATAACAACTCACGTTTTCCTGGGTGAGTAACCGATATGGCAGCTTCCGCGCCCTCAATAAACTCACGTAACTGCTTTGGATTTCCCTCGAACGGTCTAGGTATCAACTTAATTGCCTGAGTAACTGAGATGTACGCCCCCTCATCGCCCCTTTCGGGATCCTCGTCTGCCATTTTTAAATTACCAAGGATCTGGACTAACCTTTACAAAGTAGTGGTAGAGCGGTGTTGAGCTACACAGTTCGGATCGACTCCTCTTGCCTCGGGTCGAAGTGTGACCGTCCTTGCGGCGAAGCCTGTAGCGGCGGCCGTGCCAACGACACAGATGTCGCGACAACGTCTACAGCCTCCCGCTGATCCACTCTTCTTGCCTTGGGTCAAGGAAGGTCGGGTGATCCTCTCGCGGTGTATTCTGCAACGGGCGTGGTGACAGCTTCCCTCGGGATATCGGGCTATCACTCGTATCCGGAGCCTCGCGACCGCCAACTTGGTCCTTCAGCTGGGAACCAGGTAACCCCCTGGCCGGTTTGGGTATCCTCTGGAGCGTTGTCTCCTCGAAGAAGGTCGACAGCTTCCCTCGGGATATCGGGCTATCTACCCCTCCAGCCTGGTACAACTTCAGGGTTAATATCAACGTACAAAGTGCTTAGTTCAAATCCCTTTCCGCTGCCACCATGTAACGTGTTTACCCGGCGCCGGTGGGGGTGGCAGATCCCGCCGCCGCCGCGTACTTGTTACTAAAAACTCTCACTAAGGCCACTGAGAGTCAGGGGTTCGTCTCGGTTCAGGAGCTGACGCTGAAGCCCGAGATTAAACATACCACACTCCACACGTTGATAATATTATTAACCAAGTTTATTGAAGAAATGAAACACAAGAAAGAAATACAGTAATTTTACATTTAGAAAGAAAGAATGAGACCCTCGCCTGAGGCGAGCTGCCTTGTGTCTGCCCTGCCTAGGGCTTTGTTCCCAAAGAACCACCACGTGCTACATTTTTTTTTTTTGGTGGCTATGCGGCCTCGTACGCATCCAGTGATAAGGCCGCATGCCGATCCGTCTAGCTCGAAATAACACCGTGTGTGGTCTCTTTAGGACTGTTTATATATAAAGTATTCTTAATTTTAGAAGTTACAATAATTGAGCGGGGGTCATATATGACAGCGCCAATCCCCTTGAGACCCACTACCAATATGTTTTTCCAACTGAACACTTGCTATTATAGTCCTTGTGTAACATCCTCTCTGACGAGAGGATGGATCTTTCGTTTACAATTGCTGCTGGTCCGCGCCAGCGCAGTCATTCTCGGGTCCGAGTCCCGCGGAACTCATGATCATATTTTGTCATTTCAGGATCGAGACTCCCCCAACTTGGAGGGCAATGTCCCCGTATTTATATCCCCCAGGAACAGGGTGGTCCAGTTATACCCCCCAGGCACTGGAATCCCTTTTCGTCGTCTCCTACTACTCGCAGGGCTACGGTGGAGGCATTCGAACCTGCCTCTAATCACAAAGAGCTGTTCCCTAACAACGGCTGTTGTACTCTTGCCTGTTTTACACATCTTGGCAGTGGGTCTACATGTCACATTGTTAAATACGGGAATTGCATTGTCAGTTATCATAAGTCAGAGAACATTGTATGAAACCGAAGGTACATGTTGTCAGTGTCCAGGTAAGCCTGTAGCGAATAGGCAATTCACTGGATATTTCAAACCTACCCCTCCATTTAGGTTTCCAGGCAAACATTCGAGAAAAATGACTTTCGAGTACAAGTGTCAAGAGAAAACTGATCGATGGAAAGAACTTCTATAAAGTTTCAACAATTATTAAATTTTGAATTAGGGGATTCTAATTTGTGCTCTGTCCACGGTCATGTCTCTCTTTGTCTTCCTTTTTGTTTTCCTAAACGAATAAAGAAATTTCTATAATTTAGTTTTGCATTCTAAAACAGATTTCTTTTAGTCAAATAACAAAGCCAGAAGCTTATTGTCTGTTTGTAAAGGAAGAAAAGCTCCTTTCCCCGTTTTCCAATGTTCGTAGATGCCTTTCCTATCTCAGTAGGGCTGCATGCAAGATGAGAATGTATCTGTACCATATCTCTTAAAAAAACGGAAATTAACGCTGTTCCCTTTGACTTTGTCTCAAGCTATAAAGGCTCAAGAAAGTATAGATTGTTAACAGTAAACCTATCCCTTTGAAGAATTAAAGACTAAGAAGATAAAAAAAAAAAAACAAATGTAAGAACGGCTACAGGAAACTAAGAGCTTATTGTGTAAAGTTAAACGTTTTATTACTCACTAACGCGATCGCCTCTCTTCTCTCTACGATGTCGTAAATGAATGACAGGAGTAAATTGTTTCTAAAAGGAAACAACGTTTTATTCATTTTATGAAATGAAATATGTCTGAAGAAAATCTGATGGGGAAACGAACACGATATCTACACTACAAAACAGAACGGATTGGCATGGCGGTAACACTTTGCACCCGTATTCGGGAGGTGCTCTCTTCGAACCTCGGCCGAGGCACCTTCTATATTGATTGAGATCTGTCTTGATTTTCCTCAGGCCTTCCAGGCAATTGCAGGTATAGTACCTCGATTAGTTCACGACCGTTTCCTTCCAGATCTTTACAAATTCATCGTTCAACAACCATCCTCTTTAAACAAAAAACTAATAAAATAGGACCGAGACACTTCTCTAAGACTGATGAGGAACTGAGGCTTGTCGTAGTTTTCTTCAGCCACTCCAACAGAATGCCTGTTTATTGCCTTGAAATAGGCCAATACCACTTCTTCCACATCTTTGCAAATCCATCATTCAGTAGCCATTCTATCATTTGATGCTAAATGCTATCAGCTAAGCTACTGACATCGTCATTATATAAATAAATACTTATTTTCATTATTTCAAGTCGATATAGCTACGTGATGAACAGTATGGGTTCGATTCCCGGCAAGGGGAAGATTTTTCTCTCCTCCATAGGATGCAGATCGACTCTGGGACCCACCCAGTTCCTCTCCAATGGATTCACGGGGCTGTTACCTGGGGATAAAGCGTCCGGGACAAGAAGCTCACCACTTTATCTTCATCTAGTTCCGAGGTCAAGAATAGTGGATTTATATCTCCACTCCCCCACATGTTTTCATGGCATAATGCTTCATTAAGCACAGGAACAATTTTACCTTGACCTGTATGATTTAGGCATTTGGCCTGTTCCGGCTTCTAAAATCTGCCGGTTAAATTTATGAAGCCCTCGACCTCTCCTCCCGTGAGGTATGCATTTCGAGGCACATTTTCGATTCACATCTTTCGTTCTACCGAGACTGAATAGGAGAGATTAAATAGACAGCCCGTTAATGATTGCAGTGTTGCAGATTTGAAACGAAGGCAGTTATGACCACAATTTTCCCAGCCATTTGTTTTCGTTTTCATTTGCTTTGTTTTGTTCTGTTTCGTCCTTTCTCCCGTTCACCCGTCCCGTCCCCCTGGCACATGCCCTCCGCGTGTAGGAACTGCAGATGCGAGTGAACGTGAATGCTAATGGCCACGTGTACGGTCAGGTATCGGTGGAGGACCCCGCTGATGTGGAGAAGAGCGCCCTCTATCACGAGCCCTACAACCTCAACATGTACAGCGCCCAGGGCGGCAAGGTCCAGCAAAGCAAGGAACTGCAGCAGCGCCATCACAGCAGCCCCGACTACACCGGTGAGTCCATTAATTTGTATAGCATTACTTAAAACTGTACAATGACTATTAGAATGCCACATATGTGTTATATAGAAACGTATTTGCAAACAGTTATTGTATAAAGGAGTTATATGTTATAAGTTGAGGACACGCGATAGCGTAGTTGGTTGAGGCACTATGCTACAGGCCGGAAGGTCGCGGGTTCAAGTCCCGATGAAGTCTTTGGATTTTTTCAGTTGACCTAATCCTTCCAGCCGCACTATGGCCCTGGGATCGACTCACCCTCCAACAGAAATGAGTACCAGGAATTAATTAAATAATTTTCTTGGGGAGTAAAGCGCGGCCAGCGTGTAAGGCTGACACCTTACCGCAATCTTTGAGCCGATTGTCTAGATAATGTGGGATCCTCAACGTTTCACAACCATATGGGCCTTCAGGGCCTGTTACAGGGATAGCTTCACGTTTTACTGTACTATGTTATAAGTTATGGGGGCTGTAGGGCGTGATATAATTTTCAGAGGTTATATAAATGTGTGAAAACTAGTGTCTTTGCCTCTCGTACTCATAATCTAATCACAGGATTGAAATAAACACGAAATGCAAATTTTAAAAGCCCTCCTGAATAAACATGTTTAATGAGAAAGACGACAACTGACGACAGAGAGACTTGAGGGCAGATTAATCTAGCGGCAGAATTAGTACTACCTGTTGAGAGCGAATGCAGCAAGATATCGACGGTCTATGTTACCATAATATCATGCAACGTCATTTCGATTTTTTGTTCACGGAGATGATATTTCGTAAATGGATTTGGGTTAAATCATTTTCCTTATCAGATTGAGGCCTTGTAAATTAATATGACATTTAAAATCTGCTACAACGATTTCAATATACTCTTGTATACAATATGCCGGAAGACGATGCCACATATCACGTATAATAATCCTACTTGAAGACATGATTAATGTAGACCGTTGGTTCTGTCACAGTTGACGGTTTTACTGTTCTTCCCTCACTGGTTTGACGTAACGGAATCTCACCAGATGCAGAAGTGCTCGGTCAGAATCTCGACCGGAACACCAGCTGTCGTGGCTTTCCTCAGTCCCGTTAATAAAATTTCATAAAGTACCTTGGTTAGGTCACGGCCGCTTCCTTCCAAATTATTTCCAGTTCATCATTCACTCGACCATAAATGGCCTAACTGCAAATAGCTTCATGAAATAACCCACAGAACTTACAAATTAATTTACTCATGAAACGCAACAGGGGGCACGCGGTAACATAGTGGCTTGCTTCACTATGCTACAAGCAGGAAGGATGTACAGTTCAGATATTTGGGAACAACGACAACAGATCGAAACCTGATTCAGGAGGACATTAAGAGGCGATTGAACTCGGGTAATGCTTGCTACCATTCATTCCAGAACATTTTGTCTTCTCGTCTCTTGTCCAAAAACATTAAAATTAGAATATACAAAACTATAATTTTGCCTGTAGTTCTGTATGGGTGTCAGACTTGGTCTCTGACATTAAGGGAGGAACATAGACTGAGGGTGTTTGAGAACGGAGAATATTTGGACCAAAGAGAGATGAAGTCACAGGAGGTTGGAGAAAACTGCATAATGAGGAGCTTCATAACTTGTACTCTTCTCCAAGTATAATTAGAATGATCAAGTCAAGGAGGATGAGGTGGGCAGGTCATGTAGCACGAATGGGGGAGACGAGGAATGCGTATAGGATACTGGTGGGAAAGCCAGAAGGAAAGAGACCACAGGAAGACCAAGGCGTAGGTGAGTGGACATTATTAAAATGGATCTTAGAGAGATAGGATGGGATGGTATGGATTGGATAGATCTGGCTCAGGATAGGGACCAGTGGAGGGCTCTTGTGAACACGGTGATGAACCTTCGGGTTCCATAAAATGCTGGGAAATTCTTGAGTAGCTACAGAATTGGCGGCTCCTCAAGAAGGGCTCAGCTCCATGAGTAAGTAAGTAAGTAAATACAAGCAGGAAGGACGAGGGTTCGAGTCCCTGTGTGGTGGAATTTATCAGTTAGCCTAATCCTTCCAGTCTCACTATGACCCTGGGGTCGACTCAGCCTCTAAGAGAAATGAGTACCAGGAATCTTCTTGGGGCTAAAGCGCGGCCGGCGCGTAAGACTGAAAACCTTACCGCCATCTTTAAACCGACTGGCTAGAAAATGCGGAAGCATGGGGCACTCACACCCCTATGGGCCTTCACGGCCTATTACAGAGATAGCTTTAGTTACCTTTAACACAGCATATTATCCGGAGGTGGGGTCCACTCAGCCTCGTGATGATAACTGAGGAGCTATTTCAAGGAAATAGCGGCTCCGGTCTAGAAAACCGAAATTGAACGGCCGTGGGGATTCGTTGCGCTGACCACGCGACACCCTCTATCCGCTAAAGTTGGCACTAAACTTCGCCAACAAGCGGCGGTCGCTCGGTCCGTATAGTTCGATTGCGAACTAAAATCACGGAGTTTGCTTTTTATTATCCGGAGGTATAGTGCAGGTCCTACTGTTGATCAGCTTCTATCATACATTCTATTATTCTATTGTATTTACGTTCGAAAATATCCTAAGAGTTAAAAGTTCGTCAGGTCGTTCATTAAACCCATTTTTATACTTTTCTTGTAACCTGGTACAAAAGCAGCAAATGTTAAATTTGAAAATGAATTTAAAAGCAGCTGTTGACACAGTCTTTTATTATTGCTCCTGCTTCTGCCAGAGTTCTTGCACAGTCACTCGGAATTATAGATAGTTTTGAACGCTATTTCTTTTGATGGCGTCATCAAACAACTTGAGTATAATTTTAGATGAGTGAAGTAGACAAGTTCTTTATCTTTATGACTCAGGATCATTTACGTTGGAAATTAAAGGCGATTAAAAATAAAAAGCAGTAGGCTACACCAATACCCTGAAGCAACCCCAGTTTCACGGCCAGAACCCGTAACAGTTCATTTACGTGAGTGTTTTTCCTTCACGTTTAATCCGCTTTGCCGCATACCGCCATCTTTAATGACTTCCTGCGTACATATCTGATTTTCATATAGTTTTCTATACACAGAACACAATTTTCTTAAAGAATTTATCTTTATTTATTATTTATAGAAAGCGTTTTGCTCTCTTTAACCCGAAACGGAGTAACGAAGTATGAAACATTTCACGGTGCGCACACCTATGGCAGCGCAGCAACGAAATACGACAATCGGAAATTTAGTTAGCGTCTGTGATTCTTGGACATATTCCAAGTTTGTGTGTTAGAACTCTTGATGTTTAGGAATCTGGAAGTATTCCAGTGCTGCTACTTGAGGTGAAACTTGGCTCCCAGGAACTTGAACCCGCATTCTGTAACGGTAATAATATCCTTTCGAATGTTTTGTTTAACGTAGGTCTGTATACATTGATTTAGGTATTGAAAATGATATCACACACAAGCACGGAAACACACACACACATTTCTTGCAGCTGTTACGAACGCAATCCTTAATAACATACAAATATTGATGTGACTGAAGGAAAACATAAATGGCTTTGAAATTTGAAACTAAAACTGTATGTATTCCTTGTGGGTTATATTACTACGCTAACAGTATCTGGATTGTATAACGTTTAATGGTAGGGTAATAGATGAATTGCCGGTCACGGTAGCCGAGCGGTCTAAGGCATGCACTGTCTTCTCTCGCTCGGAAGCCGAGATCGTGGGTTCGAATCCCACTCAGGGCATGGATGTTTAGTTTGTTTGTGTGCGTTTCTCTGTGTTTGTCTACATGTAGAGGCCTTGCGACGAGCTGATCACTCGCCCAAGGAGACCTACCGTATGTGTAAGATCTAGAAAAACCGAAGTGAACGGAGTTCATGGAGGTAGGCCTAGGCCCACTGGGGCTGTAGTACCAAGGGGGAAAAAATAGATGAATTATGGTCTTGACAGGATTAGGAAGGAAGCAGTAATGGTTTAATCGAGATACTCCCCAAATATTTACCTCGAGAAACTGAAGAAAATAACAAGTACACAATTCTTCCAGCGGCCCTGGGATCGACTCAGTCTCTAACAGAAATGAATACCAGGAATCTTCATGGGGGTAAAGGATGACCAACGCGTAAAGCTGACAATCTCAGTATCATCTGTGAGCCGATTGGCTAGAAAATGAGTGAGCTTCGACATCTCACAACCCTATGCGCCTCCACGGCCAGTTACAAGGATTGCTTTACCTTATTACCTTTATGAATTTAGTTTCAGAAAACAGGGTTTCGGAATCGGATATTTCCGTCATCAGACGAATGAGAAGAGAGAGCCCTACTTCGCTGGACCGGTTAGAGAGAATTCCTCTCTAATTTCTGATAGGGTCAAATGAGTCAGACTCTGTTCTCTGTTATAAAAGGCGATGGAACAACCAATTTCTGAAACGTTTTGTTTGAAGAAAACACAAAACGATGAACTGTATCCAAAATAATATTCATATTTTTTGTAACCCACCATACTCAGAAACATTTACACTTAATTTGGCATTTGGAGTTTATTTAAATTAAATTGTGCTTTTAAACAGAATTGTTGTAAAACTGTTTACCTCGTATTTCTGAATTGGCTGCATGTATTTATTAATTTTACCGAAGTACTAGTACTAGCACTAGTTTATAAATTTGGCCGCGCCATAGCTCAAGCGGTTAGTCGCTGGCTTTCCACCACGACGGCCCGGGTTCGATCCCGGGGTCTGCGCAAGTGGGATTTGTGGTGGACAAAGTGGCGCTGGTTCAGGTTTCCTGCGAGTACTTCGGTTTCCCCTGCCAATTCGCATTCCACCACTTGCTCCACAATCACCCTCACCTCTCATCTGGGGCTGGTGCAATAGGCTAGAAGTGGCCGCAGTACAAGGGACTTAGTCCCACCCCACTAGCAATAAATAAATTTTATAATTTAATTTATACGTGTTTTTGTTTTACATCCTGCTCAGAAAGAGCCTGTGTAACAACTCAGGTGTTAACTTACACGAATCTCAAGTGTCCGTTAGTTTCGTTGTGTACTCTACGCATGCTAACAGTACAATCCTGGATTCAGGAATTTTTATTAAATATGATATTTATGGCCACTTTGATGTGAGGTTTTTAAAATCAGGAAGATTTCTGAAAATTTCCTTTTGATTGATAGCACTGTGAAATTGTTTCAGAAGCTAAGAGATTGTTTAGGACTGGAAAGCGTAGGCAGATATAGGAGTAGATGTGTCAGTTGTCCATATGACATAGCGTCCAGTCACAAATCACTGGTTGTTTAATTTGAGGTGTTTATTCAGGCAATTATCTGGAGAAACTGTTTAAAAACACAATAGCCTGTCAGGATGGCTGGCTTCTGGACCGAGATTTGAAGCCAGACTTCCAGTATATAAAGTAATTCTGCTCACTCGACTGCAGTGCGCGACTGTGGAACAGAATTAAAAAATTCTCAGTTCGTAAAGTGATAAAGCCTTGAACGTTCTCGAACATTCCCGCTATGATGAAATTTTTCAGTGCATTTTACGTCCCGCCCGTATATTTCGATAATTTTAATCAGATCAGTATTGAAACCTGTGAACTGTTTGTGGGGTAAATACATCTCTCGTCCGGTATCACCGTTCATTGATAAGGTTTGCTTTATGCTTTGCTGTGTGGATGGGAGAAAACGGTATACCCGGCGTGCAACGCGAGGAGCGGAAGTGAAGGAGGATTTCTCTTGCTGTGCGAGATAAGCCTCGCACGGTGAGAGAAGATACTGTTTACTTTCTTGCAACACGTTTTCTCCTTCCATTAGAAAAGGGATGTATTCCTATCGTACACACTGCTCCATGAATCTGTACGGGTAACATCTAAAATGGCTCTTAAATGAGCTCGGCTAGCCTTCCTAACTTGAGGTTATCATTGCCGTAGAATGCTTTAAGTTTCCAGGAAAATTGTTGTTTAATGATGTGAACACGCGTGATCCTATTATCTGGAGTGTCTAACCCGCGGTGCAACTTTACAGTTGTGGAGTTTATGGACTACTTCCGTCTGGTTATGTGGCAGTGTGATAAATGCTTAAATTCTGCGTTTCCGCTCATGTACCTAAAGTTAGGTAAAGCAACTCTGTATAAGTAGCAACATTATGTAAAATTGGATGTTTTTCGCTATCTATAATAAGTTATAATTTAATAGCAAAGTCGTTCTCAACGGATATTTAAAATGGAAGTACCACAAACGTTAATACAACACATGCTTACAGATTTACCGTGGGTTCACTTCCCTGCGTATTATTCATCTTCGTATTTTTGTGGACCGTTTTATGACGCTGTTAGTGTCGAGTTTTAGGGTGACTGATGAATTACGAATTTGAAAGGATTTTGAATGCAGTCGTGGCGTGAACGACGTATTATCCCATCATTTCCCAGGAGAGAATGAGGAAAATCAGATAAGTTCCAGTCAAGAGAGCCGGTGTCCTGACCGGTATTTGGTATCACCTTTGTGGCACCTGCACGCCGATGTGTTCGTTGCATGGCAACCGTTTAATGCCTCAGGTGATAACTGTACGGCGCTGAGGCGGCAAGTAATAAGTAACGGTCAAAGGTGACATGGTCCTAGGGTCCCTTGGGATTATTGGAATAATAAATAAACAGTTTTTTTACTTACGTTTTAATTTCAGTTTATATTAATAGAACCTAGGATGAATTACAGGCGCCTTGGCTAGTTGAGGCCCCACATGCAGACACACAAATTGCAGTCATACAAATAAAACACCAAGGTCTAGAATGCGGAAACGTTACCTCCTTGCCCTCCATATCTTGAAGTCATGTCCTCAGGAAAGGAGAAAGTTGCACGTCACAAATTTCGAAGGACATGAAATAGTTTAGAAATAAGGTATTAACCGACAAGGCTTCTTGTAATTATTTAAAATGCTTATATTTCATTAAATACATAAATGTATGGTAGGAAGTCTGTTACATTAAATGTTGACACCCCAACGGGCTATTCTCATTGAATTTGTTTTGGCCTTTGTCAGTCATTCTAATTGTTTTCAAAAACACTTCGCTTCGGTAGTTGACACTATGTCCGTCTCCAGTGAGGGGAGCCTACTCTTGTTGGGCCCCAATTTTCTTTTTAATTGCCATAGTGAGGGTGGAGTCCTGTTGGGTCCACTCGGCACATCGGCCACTGATTGGCCTATTGTACCTGCCCCTGGTGATTATGATGATGGAGAATCTGGTGGAATGAAGATTGGCAGGGAAACCGAAGTACTCGGGGAAAACCTGCCCCGGCGCCACTTTGTCTACCACAAATCCTGCTTGACAAGACCCGGGATCGAACCCGGACCGCCGCGGTGGGAAGCCAGCGACTAACCGCTTGAGCTATGGCGCGGCCTGTTGGGTCCCAAGGTACAGCTACTTCAAACCATGGTCCATACACCAAGGGTCTATAGTAGGTCCTTCGGTGGAGTTACTCTTAAACCATAGCTTTACGGCACGTAAAAGAACCTCATATCTCCAAAGGAGGTCACTGAGCCAAATTACGGACGTTTCCCGCCCAACAGCAGTCTCTAATACCTCTGGTAGATAGGGGAAGCATTATAGATACCTCTCAGCTAGTAGAGCCGGTGTCGCTGGCTGGGCGGGACTGATGGTAAGCACCAGTACCGGTAGGATATAGAGACTGGTAGAAATCATAGAAGGAAGCACAATGGACCAATACAGGTCTAAGTGCATGGGGAAACCCACCGTCTCCAATAACTAACTAACTAACCTTAAACCACGATCACTGGACCAAGGACCCACACTATTTGGTCCCTATTCTCGAACCATAATTCTAAAACCATGGTTTCAGCGTAGCTATACCTAAGGACCCAACACAAAGGGGGTTTCTTCACCTGATAAAGGACATGAAATCAGTTGCGGAAATGTAGTTGTTTTGAGAAACAGGATGGACGAAGCCAACAGAATAGTCTTAAGCAATATATCACACCATTTTCAAAATAAAAAGACCCGTAAAACATAATTGACAGTACGTTCTCTTTGAGGGGATATAGATGCCGTCAAATTGTTGGCCTTGTTTTAGACAGAACCGTACTGAACAAAATGCGCAGTGGATTCGGTCGAATCCACTGACAAAAGGATCGTTGCAGCATAAACCACTGCCCCGCTACATCTTGCTGTAGTTGTGACGCAGAGCCCAGAGGCCGCGTCTGAGAAAACGGTCTGTACATTAGCTTTAGTGAGATAAAAATAGGTATACTCAAACTACTGAGTAGAAGGAGATGACGCGTTCTGCGCAAGAAGCCTGGGTCTGGAATGGGCCGGATTAGAAGCAGGATTACGTAGTAGGTCTAGCAAGCACGTGCGAGACACAAGAAGGCTTTGTCACTCTGGCGATGTTAATCCCCGGTTCTACTACTTTATAAACCGTTTTGTTTGCAGATGTTCCCGATATCGTGTCTCAAGAATATGCGGTGCCCCACCTCAGCAACGACGGAACGCCACCACCTCCAGCGACACCAGCTAGAGCACTACCCCCACTGCACGATTTCTTCCCCAAACCACCACCAGTTCCGCCTCCTCCAGAGAAATATTACGCCGCTACAGAAATATGTAAGGTAAGAAGCCCGGGTAATAACGCATAAAGGAGCCGGGCTAGTGCAATCGGTATAACGGCTGGCTACGGGTTGGACGACAGAGGTTCGAGTCCCTGTAGATCGAAGAACTTTCTCTCCTCCACGTCGTCCAGACCAGCTCTGGGGCCCACACAGCCTCGTATCCAATGGGTACTGGTGGCTCCTTTCCTGGGGGTGAAGCTGACCACTCACTTGCAGCTAGGTCAGGAAAACGTGGATCTGTACATACACTCCCGCATACGTCTTCATGGCGTAGTGGTTAATTTGTTATGCACAGGATAACCGTGCCTTACCATCACATAAACTGTAAATACTATCCTGGTACAAGAACAGAACATAACGGCTGGTTAGCAGGAGGGCACCTGAAATACAGGATGGGCCAGACTCAATTAGGCAGTTTTTGATTAGATGTTAATTTTATTGATAAATGTTAACAATTGCAATGGTTACAAAAATGGAATCGCACACACACAAGTCATCGATTTTGAAGATGCTGGTCAACCTGGGCACCACCTAAGTCAACACAGGCTTGCAGACGCAAAGGAACATTTTCACACGCCTTTCTACACATATTCACCGGAACTTTATTGAACTCCTGAACAATCACCTCACGCAGATGTTTCACACTGTCAATGGGATTAGCTCACACCTTGTCTTTGAGTTAACCTCAAAGGAAAAAGTCTGGTGGGGTGATGTCGCGTGATTGGGATGGCAAACCCAGCTTTGAGGAAAAACTTGATTCAAGAACGCCCGAACAATATTGGCGAAGTGTGGTGGGGCCCCATCTTGCTGCCACTACAGTTCATCAAAGTTCTCTCTCCTCCGAAGTTCTGGGATGACACTTTCCCTCAGCAACTTTAGGTAGGTTTCCCCCGTGACGCAACCTTCAACGAAGAACGGGCCAACGCCCCACACCATCACTCCCGGGGACGGGAAATCGTATTCAATGGTGGCACTGGTGTTCTCTGGCCGCCAAAACACGCAGTTGTGTCTGTTGACCGATCCTGATGTGTGAAATTTGGCCTCATCAGTCCAGACAATATTCCGGATAAGGTCAGGGTTCTCCTGAAACTTGGTCAGCATCAACATGGCGAACTCAAGTCGCCTGTCGAAATCGTCCTCGTTAAGAACTCGAATAAGCCGTGGATGGTATGGCGTCAGCTTCATGTCACTCAAAACTCTCCGCAAACTTGTCCTCGAAATGTCCAGTAGGGCCGACAAACGGCGGGTAGACTTTGATTTCTGAGGAGATGATGCCAGTTCCGCAGCAACACGTGCTTGTGTGTCAGCAGTTCGGACAGTTCTCGGCTGACCAGGATGCTTGGGATTCAAAGCACTGGCAGTTTCATCAAACTGCTTGTTTATTCGGACGATTGTGTCCCTGTGGACTGCTGGCGGTCCAAACTCTTCCAACATCCTGCGCTGGACTTCTGATACATTGTTAGTAACTGAGAAAAGGCGCACACATTTTACACGCTGCTCGATAGACAACCGTCTACCGGCCATGACGTTTCCTCGATGCCCACTAAGTAGGCCGAGTATTAACCTCGTTCACAGCATACCGTATGATGCTGCCATCTATCGACAACAAAAGGTACTTTCCCATTATCCCGTGTGTTGTTGGATTGGTTAGTTATTAATGATCAAAAACTGCCTAATTGAGTCTGGCCCACCCTGTAGTTACTGGGTAATAAGAAAGAGATGTGAATAGTGACCTTCCGCTAGCACAGAAACTGTTTAGAGTGGCTGAGTGCCACGAAAGAAATTGTCAGTAGTTAGTGGTTGCTGGCACCTGGGGAGCTGGGATAGCTCAGTCAGTATATCGACTATGGGTGAGAGAGCCTGGGTTCGATTCCTGGCAAACGAAAAAGATTTTTCTCTCCTCCACAACGTCCAGACCGGTTCTGGGGCCCACCCAGCCTCCAAGCCGATGGGTATTAGGGGCTCTTTCCCGAGAGTTAAAGGGGTTGGGGTGTGAAGCTACCCACTTGCCTCCATCCAGTGCCGAAGTCAAGAAAGGTGGAGCTATACCTCCAGTCCCTCATATGTCTTCATGGCCTAGTCCTTAACCAATTAAGCATAGGGACAGTGTTACCTTTACGTTTCAAATGGATACTAGCATAAAACCTGCAACCAGTTATCAGGAAAAGATGTTTAGTTAGTGGCCTGATACTGGAACATAAACTCGTATACGGGACAGGCACCAGTAGAGACTGCAAATGGCTGACATATTAACCCAACACTTTTATCGGTAGCAGTACTTTCCTGAATATGACTCATTCGGTGTTGTGTTTAAATTTCCTACTTATCAGTACATGCTGGTTCATCCCATCAAACAAAAAACAAACACACACTGTGATTTTAGTCCACAAGCCAACTATACCGAACAAGCGATAGATCTGGCTGCAGATCCAGATGTCCAGGTTCGATTCCCGGCGCTACCAGATTTTGTGAGAAGTAGTGGGTCTGGAACGGGGTGCACTCAGCCTCGTGAGGATAACTGAGGAGCTATTTCAAGGAAATAGCGGCTCCGGTCTAGAAAATCGAAATTAACGGCCGTGGGGATGCGTTGCGCTGACCACGCGACGCCCCCTCTCCGCTAAAGTTGGATCACCCCATCAGAATTTATTATTTGGAACTCATGAACCAGTTTTGTGTTTCAGTTCATTTTGGGGTAGCTGGGGTATTTTGAAAGTTCTGATATCCTCCATGTTGCAAGAAGTTGTGACTTCGAGGGTAGTATGAACATATACGTCACCATACAATACAAGTTATTAGAAGTTCTAAAATTTTCAAACCAGCTTATCCAGTAATGAGTCACTGATGGTCGGTTTCAGGCTGCACCACAACCACCACCACCTCCACCCTTATCTCCTCCCCCCTTGATGGTCCCACAGTTGACAAACGCTCGAGGGACAAGTGGGTCCTCCATATATGGTGCCCCCGGCAGTCCTGAAGTCCTGACGACAGCGACTGATGAAGAGGAGGAAGATGAAACTATGCCATTGTGCCAGTTCCCTAGGGAACAACTGCGGGTGTTGGACAAACTGGGACATGGACAATTTGGAGAGGTAAGTCACGGGAAATATTTTCTTGAAACAGATCGTTGTAATGATTGATGTGTAAGCAGCCACTGAATTCAGTTTGTAGTGTCAGTGATATAATCTTCAGCGTCAGAATGTTACGGCAATAGAGTTCAAACAAGCGGCGTGAATACGAAATGCACAACACTTATTTCATTTTAATTTGTTGTCCGTGGGTGGCAGATGCATTTCACGTTCGTGTTATAGTCCCCTCTCCTCCACACTCACGCGTGCTTCTCCTTGCGGCAGAATATCAGTCGTTGCATAGGATAATGGTCTTTGTGACGCGTGTGTTCCAGAGTTTTGGTTCTAATGTTCTTGGGTTGGTATTCCAAATTATGAAGCTGGTATATAATGAAACTGTGTGTGTATGTGTGTGTAAAATAATCGAACCCAAGAACATCACGTGCAACTAATATAATACCTGTTCAAAATGAAACAGGAAATGACTTAACTTGTTATATAAAATAGATCTTGTTATCTGATCATGGACTTTTAGTGAATATGTAGATTTAGTTTCTCAGAAAAGGAAAAAAAATCTGTTGTATCCTCATTCCATTTTCTTTCGTTATTTTATCCCTTTTTACGTTTAACTCCTTAACCTTCTCCTCCCATGTTCATTTCTCACCAATTTAACTTGTGAATCTTATTGGCATTCCCCTCACCCTCCTTTCGCCCTCTCCTGTACATTAGTTGTGTAGTTTAGGTTAATATTGCTCATAGCCTTATTTAATTATATAGATTGTTTAAGTATGTATAAATATATGTAAGATTTGAGGTTTTTCACGGCGGTGACTATGAAGAAAGCAGTCTTCTGAGTTGTGGCGCCGTGTAGATATTGTGTTAACCGACGTTTCGGAGGAACGTATCGCCTCCTTCTTTAGAGTAGACGACAAGAAGAAATCCGCGAGCGACCCAGCGTGAGGAGGTGCAACAGACTGAGTCCAGTCAAGTAAACCCAGCTGTATAAGAACAGGAAGAGAAGGGAAAGGGGCTACATGGTGAATCGGAAGAGAGGGGAGGGGAAGGGTCTGGGGAAGTACCAAGCCAGCAGGTGGCAGGCCAGAGCAGGTATAGAGTATGTGTCGGGGGGCGGAGAGAAGGCAAGGTTAAATGGATGTCATTAACCCTGAAAATTCTTGTCTTCTACCCTGATGATGGAGGCGATATATTCCTCCGAAACGTCAGTTAACACGATATCTACACGGCGCCACATCCCAGAAGACTGCTTTCTTCTTTATATATAAATATGTTTTCCAGTACTCCGTTAAGGCCATTTTTAAATACTACTGTCTATCGGACACTGTCTATGTTCTGTGTGATTTGAATGTACAGTATAAGACAAAGAGTCTTTTTTTGAGATCTGCGTCCTCTGTAAGCTCAAGCAAACATACATGAAGTTACTTTTATGTAAAATATTAAATTATAAAAAGGCATTTAGTATTTTTCTTTCTCTGTTTTTCCTATTCTCCTTGTTTCTTTGTCTCTTTCTTTCCTCTCTTCATATTTGTTTGATGTTATAATTATTTTTACAGCCAAAGATTGTTCACAGTTTGCTTTCTTTTTGTTTTTAAGTAGATGACAGTTGAGAAATCATTTTCCTTGAATATGAGCATTGTCAGTAGGTCTGTGTTCTGTGCGAACGAGAGGAAGAGCAATAGAGTTCAATCTATGTCACAGGAATCTCTTTAAGCAAACTTTTTTTTTATCATTGTGTCATTTCCACACTTCTCCTCAAGAAAATGATTGAACTACATATGTTGGCTCTGTCTTATTGAAAACACAAATTTTGTACTCTGAGTGAATGTCTGTTTTTCAGTATATTTCTTTCCTTTTCTCCTTTTGCAGCTGTTACCTATCCCTTTTCCCTTCATAGGAAAGTATAAATACAATACATATAATATTATAAGAAATTTAATGAAGTGAAACCTCTGTTATAACACGTTTGGAGTGCACGTAACATATCTCTAGACATAAGAGTAATGTACCTGTACAAGGGGCCGTGCCATAGCTCAAGCGGTTAGTCGCTGGCTTCCCACCGTGACGATGGCCCGTGTTGGATCCCGGGTCTGGTCAAGTGGGATTTGTGGTGGACAAAGTGGCGGTGGGGCAGGTTTTCTCCGAGTACTTCGGTTTCCCCTGCCAATCTTCATTCCACCAATTGCTCCACAATCACCCTCACCTATCATCTGGGGCTGGTACAATAGGCCAGAAGTGGCCGCAGTACAAGGGACTTAGTCTCACCCCACTAGCAATAAAGAAAAATGTAGCTGAACAGTCTAATATTTGCAGCTGTTTCATAAATATTTGTAGAAATATTCTGAGGAGTTGCCGTAAACCACGGCCCATAATCTGACCGTTTTTTAGTCCTTTCACCTTGTTTCCTTCTACCATGACATTGAGAACCAGGATAATTCTTTCAATTAAATTTTCTTCACCATTNGTCCATTTGTGATGTCAGCCACAGTGACACACTTGACACACATGGGTGGGTGCAAATATCTTTCATGGCTTTGATGGCTATAATGAACTACAGTGAAGATTTTGGCAACTGTGCTAAAGTACAGCTGAATTAGTAGGAAATGAAGAAACCTATAGATTGCATCCAGTTTTCACTTCTTTGGATTGTGCAACAGCAATTTTTTCCCAGAGCAAAGTCATCAGCCTTGTGTCCAACATCCAACCTGGAGGACTAGATCTCTGTCCCCAGTGACAGGGTGGTCTAGTTAAACCTGCAAGCATTGGGTTCCCCTTTCATCACCTTTTATGGCTCACAGGGCTATGGTTGAGATATTCTGACCCACCTTCACATGTGGATGTACATCACCATAGTCATTCTTGCTGTGTTAACTTAATGTGATTAGCCCTGTTCTGTCTTTAAGATCTGGATGAAGGGGGTGAGGGAAGAACTGGCATGTATCAGAAATAAATTATAGTGGATTTAATATTTCAGGTCCACCTCTGTGAGGTGCAGGGTTTCCCAGATTGTGTAGATGTACTCAGACACAGTGAATGTAAACTTGTGGTGGTGAAGACATTGAAACCTGGTGCATCTGAATCTGCAAGGTAATGTATCTAAAAATTTAACTGACATCTTTGAGCATAGTCCTTTATGAGGATCTAATAGTCCCTGAGCAAGTAAAGAAATTCTCCACCTTTCATGCAACCTGAAGGTTTGTTTCTGGCTTTGAAGAGCCTGCTGTCCTGAGCCAGATGAAACCAGTCCATATCCTCACACCCCATTTCTTCAAGATCCATTTTAATATTGCATTCCCATCTATTCCTAAACCTCCTAAATGGGTTTCATGCCTTCAGATTCTGAACAAAAATTTTGTATTACAGACCATCTCTTGCTTATGAGGAATATTTATGACAAAAAGTTATATCTCACTGAGTATAATTTTCAAGTTTGACAGCTGGCTGAACGTAACGTGACAGCTTGTCTGTCAGTCACTGCATGGCATGACAGTCTCCTAACCGGTGGTTGTTTGACATTTGTCATTATTAATCAACAGCTGCTTGCTCGTTTTCTACATTTTTCATTGAATCAGAAATGTAGTTCTGCAAAAAAAAAGTAACCCAATTTACACTAGGGAGAATATTATTATTGTACACTGTAACTGTATAAATGAATTATTAAAGCTATAAGGTTAAAGAAAAAAGGTAAATTTGCCCCTGTGTACTATGCTATGAAGTAAGTGTATGGGGGAGAGGAATATAACGCCAGCATTCTTGAGCTTGGCATTAGATGGAGGTGATATGTGAGCTTTGCACCCCTGCTGCTTTACACCCAGGGAAAGAGCCGCTATTACCCATTAGATAGGAGGCTGGGTGGGCCCCAGAACTGGTCTGGTTACTGTATAAGAGAGAAAAATCTTGATCCTGCAAGGATTTGAACCCCAGCCATCCAGCCCATAGTCCATCTCTGTACTGACTGAGCTATAAAATCTACAATGAAGATGAATCCTTATTGTTGTGAACATTTTCTTGTGTGTGAAGTTGTATTTCTGAAGCCCTGGTGATAAAGAGCAATTAAGGGTTAAAGTTAAAGTGAAGATTGTATATGTATTATCCTCTGTAATTGGATTTTATTCAAGTTTTCTCTTTTACAACATTTCTAAGGACAATTTTTTAAAATTATATTCAAAGTTGAAGTAGATTCATATCTTAAATTAATTCAGTAATTAATATCTTTTCTGTGTTTCTAGAAAATGCAAATAAAAATGAATTGAAGAGACATGAGTGTACAGAATTTTAGTCAAGTCTGTTGTATTTCAGGTCAGACTTCCAGCAAGAAGCCCATGTGCTGGCAAGGTTACGAGATCCAAATATTGTGAGGGTGCTTGGAGCATGCCTGGATGATGAACCTTTGTGTGTGGTGGTAGAGTATACGGAATATGGGGACCTGAATCAGTTCCTACAGGAACATATAGCAGAAACAGCCTCACCACTGCCTCGCAATGCCAAGACACTCAGGTATCAGCAGATAAATTAGAAATTATTGGGCTAGTTGACCTTTATCATCTTGGAATAGAAAGTATTTATCCTCTGGGTCTACAGGCCTGGGAACCAGATTTTAACTTGGGAGGTAACAGTACTGGCTGTCCGGATGAAAGGTATCCAAAATATAAAATATATATCTTGGAGACTAATTGTCATACACATATCCGGTTCATGTCATCGGAAAGTTTTTCTTTTTCATAGCCGGTTTACGTGCATATGCTGCCACATTTCTGCTACCATGTTAAGAATCACCTGGACAGAGAGATGGCTGGGATATGAATTGGCAGAGGTGGACCAATCGCTTGGTCTCCTAGGTCACAAGATTTAACCTCAGTGGATGTTTCTTGTGGGGCTATGTGAAGAACATTGTCTACCAGGTTAAGATCAACGACCTTCAACACCTGAAAGCCTGCATAAGGGACTCTATAGCTACGGTAACACCAAACATGTTTCAAGTAATGTGGAATGAGGTCGGTTGGTATAGTTCGCTTGTGGACTACAGGGCTTGGAGTTAGTTAGTTAGTTAGTTAGTTAGTTCATTCTGGTGTGGTGGCAGGTTAGAATACCTCTGCCATAGCCCTTCGAGTCTTAGAAGGTGATGAAAATGGAACCCAGTTCCCGGGGGTATAACTGGGCCACTTGGAAACATAAATACAGAGACCTGGTTCACCAGGTTGGTGGTTTGGTGCAATGGTGAGGACTTTGCTCTGTTAAAAATTCATGTTGTGAAAGCCAAAAAGGTGAAAACTGGATGGTATAATTCACGATGGATTAGACAAGTCTGACAAAATCTTCTAAGGACGGCTATGGTCCAAAAGGTCTGTTTTGCTGACAACGACGATGACGATGACCTTTGCTTCTTTACATATGATGTGTGCTTTCTGTACGTATTAGATTAACGTAATTGAATAAAAAGAGAAAATGATGATTCAAAATTTAGTCTGTCTCATTTATGTAGAAGCTTATTGACGATACATAGTACTTAATGTAGAATATGACAATGTTTATAAATTTGATTTCTGTTTCTATTCAAATCTGAAGATACTGAAGTTAATATAATTTGAAATAGGAGTCTTACTGACAGTATCTACCTGCATTATACATTTGAATATGGGTTTACAATTTTGGATTTAATGTTAAAGCCCTAGGTTCATGTAAAATTTGCGTTTGTCCATTAAAGGAGTGATTTCTGCCAGAGAAACCTCAAACTATAGGTGTCAAATATTTCTTGTCCATTCTGTAGAATATCTTCCTAGACTCATTTCTTGAATGAAAATTATATCATATTGTGTTGTTCCGCCTAGAAGACAGAATATCTGAGTCACAGCGGACGTCCATTGTTGGGCAACGGCTCGGTATCCACGGTTCTATATCTTTGTTGGGGTGACAATGAAACAGGTTCACATTAAAACACACACATAACAGACTTTACCACGCAAGTGAAAAAACCAGAACTTGTGAAGTTCCTGTGGCAATGAATTCACCAGTGACCAGTATATAGAACCCGTGAAACGAAACTGTTGAAGAAGGTGTCTTTTAGTCCGTCTGATGATAGAATTTAAGAGACCAGACCAGATCAGATCAGAAGGGAATGGAGCAAAGCTGAGAGCAGAAGAAACCAGCTGAGCTAAGAACCAGAAGATGCCAGACTAGCCAGGTGGAATTGTCTGGAAGACATTATTGCAGAGTGTTTGCGACTGTAGCTGTAAACGACTTATCCAATAAATAGCTTTATCTGGAACCCATTAATTTCTTGTCGCGTTACAAGGATACGTGACAGTATGCTTGTGTAATATTAAATTATCTTTAACACAGTTTTCACAGATAAAAAAGGTAAACATTTTTAATGAAAAGCATAATTAAGATTTTTATATTATTTATTATATATAATAGGTAATGAAGTTTATACTGTTATATTTTTTCTGTCTGTTTTATAGTTATGGCTGCCTTATTTTCATGGCGACTCAAATTTCTTCAGGAATGAAGTACTTGGAGTCATTAAATTTTGTTCACAGAGATCTGGCAACAAGGTAGGTCCATAGCTTACATACCACTTTTACCCCTTAAATTTTAATTGCTATTTTTGCCTCTGAGATTATGTATTCCTTTTATTGACAACCCCTTTGGATTTTTAAAAGAATGAGACATATATTTGCATGCATTTTGAACAAAATTTCTGATACTGCCTATTAGGTTCATCGTGCCTATCAGTTTGTCTGTTAGTAACAATGCCCAAACTATTCATTGAGTGTCTTCAGGTGCAGTACAGGTACAGAGCCTCTAGATTCTGCACCTAATCAATGCCTTTCTTTAATTTCATACAAAAGTTCACATTCTCATTTGTAGTCAGTGCAGAATGCTATCCTTTAGCATTAACCACCATACTTCCTGCTGGCCCTTCAGACATGTCTTTGATAAAATAGGTGTGGGTGGGGGGCGAGGTTGCAAATAATCAAAATTTTTAAGAAGTAACAAGTGTACACATGCTTCATACTATTCAAACAGAGCAGAAGATGACAGTCAGAGCTACTAAACTGCCATTTTAAAAACTAGGCAGATTTCTGGTTCCAATGGACTTCTGGATTTTTCCTAAGGGGTCCTGTAACAGTATTTTGGACATCCACTAAATATGTTGAGTTGTATCATGTAGTTCAGTTTATTTTAAGGACCAGTTTCCATATGGGAATAAATTAAAATTCACATATATCTTGTGAGTCCTTTGACAGCTTTTGATCAAACATCATATATGACACTTTTATTATATGTTCATAACTATGCATAAATTGCATTAATTTCATTTTAGGACATTTTATATGTGGGCCTAGGTAAAATGTTATATGGTACATGTTTCTAGTGTTTTGAAATTTTTTTATTAATGTTAAGATTACAGTTTTTTAGATATGTCTACATTTGTCATTTTCATTTGAAAGAGAAAGCTCTAGATCACATTAAGTGGAGGAACTATTTTGGAAGAGACTGTGGGCCTGTCGTCTTGACAGATTACAGATGAATGAATGAATGTATATCTATATTTGCATGAACTACACTTGTTCACAGAAACTGTCTGGTGGGCAGAGGGTACAGCATGAAAGTATCTGACTTTGGTACAAGCCGCAGTCTGTACTCTGCTGACTATTACAGTATGGAAGGTGGAGCTGTTCTTCCAATACGATGGATGGCCTGGGAAAGTGTTCTGTTGGTATGTCCTGTTTAATAAACTCACTCTTGTTCAGGACAAGTATTGTTTATTTGTGCTCATTTATCCTGAACTGTTTACTGCTTCAAATGTAATAACCATAAGACTGACATTATTATTGTAGTGCCTCAAGTGTAAAGGCAAAGGAAAGTTGTCTCTCTGCTTAATTATCTAAACACTGTGTCATGAAGAGCTATGGGGAGTGGATGCATAGCTCCACCATTCTTATTTCCTCAGCAGATAGTGATCATCTCCATATCCTTGCCACTTTACCCATGGGAAAACCCCCCCACCCACCTGGTAGGAGGCTGGGTGGGACCTAGAGTCTGTCTAGATGCTACTGTGTAGGAATAAATCTAGTGAACTTACTGGTGACTGAACTTCTGTTCCTTGATTTCCCAGCCTGATGGTCTTGGCTAGGCATGGCTGCAGTGTAGAAAATAATTTAGGGATCTCTTTCACCAGGAAATCCATCCCACTTGTTGTCACTGTTGTTGTTATATAACTATTAAAACCATTCTCTTCATTTCCAGGGTAGGAACCATCTTGTAAATCTGTATTATTTAATGCTATGGTACTCACAAATCTATTTGTTCCCATGGCCCTGCTCACAGAAAAACTTTTATTTTCGCTCTCCCTGCATAGAGAAATTGGAATAAAACACAGAAATTCATAATTATGATACATGCCAAAGGTTGTATCTCCATGTTGAATTTTGCATAATCACTGTTTTTAAGAAAACTGTAGTGAACACAGGAATTAAACTATGCAACAAATTACCAATTCAGATTAGAAAAATGGAAAAATTCAGCATTTGAAGAGACTGCTGAGAGCCTTTCTGCAACATACATTCTACACTATAGGTGAATATTAATTACTAGACTGCGATACTCAGTTAGTTGTGTTTGTGTGTGAAGATGGCTTGTTGTGCTTCATTACAATTCAGTTAAATGTTGACTTTTTTAAATTTAGGGTTATGCTCCTTACTGAAATGTTCTATGTCAATAGTTTGACCAAACGGATCATCAAGAGTATATAATGCAGTAAGGTAAAGTACCGAGTTCACAGTAACTTGATATCTTCCTCACTTAGTTCAATCATTTATGCATAATATGTCATTATGAAACATGTGGTTATATTTTCTGGAGGTAAAGCAATTCTGTAAAGTAACATCTCTGTATCCACCAAAACCTATTCTGCAGCTCCAGTACAGCTGCCTAACTGAACCAGTAAGGTCTGCGTCTTATCTAGGAGACAAAGACAACAACTTTTACCCCTGGCACACATCATGCAAGGTGAAAAGACTGCCTTTCTTATATAGCCAAATGTATCTTTCATCCAGCGTCCTCTGTAGTCTAGTGGTCAGAGTTCCTGCCTACAGATCCAGAGGTCTGGGTTCGATTCCCAGCGCTATCACATTTTCTGAGAAGTAGTGGATCTGGAATGGGGTCTACTCAGCATCGAGAGGATAATTGAGGAGCTGTTTCAAGGAAATAGTGGCTCTGGTCTGGAAAACCGAAATTAATGTCCATGGGGATCCGTTGTGCTGACCGCGCGACACCTTCTATCTGCTAAAGTTGGCACTAACTTCGCTGACAAGGGACAGTCGCTCGGTTGGTATAGTTTGCTTGCAGACTAAAACCATGCATTTAGTTTTTTTTCATCTTCCTGCATTGTGAAGTCTCTAAAACTTAAAGGAAAAGAAATATTTTCTTAGTGTATACATGAGAGAAGCTACTGCTATGCCCAAGAGATTAGTATGTAAAGATTTATATTATATAAAAGTTGTTAAAATGTTAGTATTGGATTTAAAATATAATGACAGATTAAATGCCTTTTATGCAACACAGATAAATCTATAAATTAGGTGTTCAGGTCACAGATAATTTACAGTTTGTGGTGCAGAAATTAGAATATGGAGCACAGAATTTAGACAGAAGTAATGTGCACATAGTGTAGTTGCTTTTTAAATCAGTACCAGTAGTGCAGTTATTTAACATTAGAACATTGGTAACCACCCTCGAAGCTACATAGTCCCATATCCCAGAAGGTTACAATGTACGTTGTTTCTTCGGGTTGGCTCTGACAAGGAGTTCACTTGGGGGTTGGGGGCTTCATTTTAGATGCATCTTTTAAGTAGTATAGTTATAATGTTTGTGTTTTGATTTCAGGGTAAATTTACAACGAAGAGTGATGTCTGGTCATTTGCTGTAACACTATGGGAGATCCTCACATTTGCACGTGAACAGCCATTTGAAGATCTTAGTGATGAGAAAGTCATTGAGAATGTAACACACTTCTACCAAGATGATGGTCATCAGGTTAGTGCTTAGGGTTTCAAGAGCAGCATGTGTTCAGTGTAAAGAATACTGTTTAGTAGAAAAAGATTACATGGAGTCACGTTCCATTTGACAGTAATGTTCATAGGTGCTATTGTGAGAACCTCGAAGGTAAACTTCTACCAGACTACATGGTTGCACACCCAAGGAACAAATACTCTTAATAGGCACTACTGTGTAACCTCAAATCTGTGGTATTTTCTGTATGTTTGTCTGAAGGAGTTCAGAATAAGTGGGCACAAACACAGGAAATTGAATTCTCAGTATATGCAGCTTACTTTCCATCCTAGAGAAATCTAGACTTAAGATGTGAGTATAGACATGGTACAGACTGGTGACTAGATTTATTGACAACTTACTGGTCGTAGCTACAAATAACTATAACACTATTGCTGATTTCCACACTTTACAAATCGCTGCACGCTAAATCTTCTCCAGCCTGCAGTGTGTTCACTAATTGTTGCTTGGTAATAGCTCTCAACAGTGCAGGTTTTTCAGCTTCTATGCTCACGTTGTTACTGTCTGGCAAATATCCCACAACTGAACTATCAACTTAATTACAGTGCCATCTCATCTCAACCTCCCTTGCAGAACTCAACTGTGGTTATTGCTCCATCGGTCCTGGTGATAAAATCTCAGCATGGACCACATAGAAAACACTGTTTTTCTATTGTTGCATGTGTGTTCGTTGATATGGAAAAGTGTTTTCTGAGCTGTTGCACAGAAGCAGGTTGCATAACCCTGTTTATTAAGAATCTGCTGCCCTACCAACAGGACTACATGCTACAATAACATTGTGCCCATGTGATATCCTTACTTTTTTTTATTGCTAGTGGGATGGGACTAAGTCCCTTGTACTGCGGCCACTTCTGGCCTATTGTATCAGCCCAAGATGATAGGTGAGGGTGATTGTGGAGCAGTTGGTAAAATGAAGATTGGCAAGGGAAACCGAAGTACTCGGAGAAAACCTGCCCCAGTGTCACTTTGTCCACCACAAATCCCACTTAACCAGACCCGGGATCGAACCCGGGCCGCCGCGATGGGAAGCCAGTGACTAACCGCTTGATCTATGGCGCGGCCTAATATATCCTTACTTAGTAACTACTGAATCAGTTGATAGATTTTCATGAAACTTAGTATCTCATACAAGCATGATCCACCCACACCTGTGTAGTTATTAATTTTGGGATATAAACAATATCACTAAGTTGACACAAAAATAGGTTTTTAGGAGGACAATAGCATGCAAGAATAAAGAACAGTTTGAAAATTAGGAATGTGTGTGATTAAATATAAAGACAAATGCGAGAGAAAGGTAAGAAAAAATGAAAGTGAAGAAAAAATAAATTTAAAATACTAGTAATTAATAGGAGTTAAATAGGATGTGTATAATTAGAACACTAGTACACAATAGATGTATAAATTTATACCACCATACCACCACACTGAAAACATGTAAATCTAAGTCATCCACCATATCAGCCCCACACAGTCACATCACCTTTCACAACAAGGAAGGTAAAACACCTTATTTAACCATAAATACCATCACAAACCACACATAATAAATATTTAACAAAAATTTATTATATCTCAGTTTTCTATATTTCAGTTTTACTACACGAGGAAATTAATACACACAAAATAGTGCACACACATATCTAAATCAGCATGCGGTAAGAAATCATACACACCCACCACCTCACACATAACTATGAATGATAATAAATAAATTCTTTAGATCACATAAATGAAGACCTCTTTCTGCTGTGATCCAACAGCGATAACAGCTACTAAGATTTTATATGTTAACATACAAACTTATAGCATGATATAAATATGGACTGTTTATGAGTGACAAAAAAACCAATGACATCTAAAAACTACAAGAGAAATTTTAATTAATAACAGTAATGATTAATCAATTCTGTTGTATTTTATTTTGTTTTTTTACTTAATTTGACATTAAAATTAATTTTAACCTAATATGTTTTAAGCTTACATATGAACTACAACATTAATACTATAAATGACTCATATAACCTATCTCCTAAAAATTATAGACATTCGCCATTGTAGGGAATAAAAGCAGAAAAAGTGGTATGTGTTAATGTAGATGATTACCTGATGATGGCCATAAATGACCGAGACATGTTGTAAAGTAAAAATAGTATAAATTTATACAGGAATGATGTTGGTGGATCTATAATAAGTAGTTCATACACAATATGACTCTAGAATATAGTATTACTGCATAACAAATGAATTCCATACTATAGACCATAGGAATACTCATAGTAATTTGAATGAGATGCCTGAGCTTTGGGCCACAGAGTCAGTTTCCAGCACTTCAAAGTGTGAACTATAATGGACTCTAATGTATTATTATACATTTGTTCATTCAGAACTACAATGGTGCAGTTAGAATGTGTGAAATGGAAGTGACTGTATTTCCACTTAATATAGGGTATTGAATTCTATGGTAATAAACTTGTAAAATATGCCTCTATACTTCCTCTCTTCAGATAATTGTAATTTGGATTGTTTAATTTTCTTCTGCTGTCATGTATTTGATGTATTGTGATAACTGTTTGAATTCGTTCTGCTGCCATTTGTGAGTTATATTTCATTACTCTAAGGTTTAGTGAAGCGTGCAAGCTGCACTTCATGATGGAGTCACAGGCAGATACACGAGCAGCAGTTATAATCAGTTTTCTAGGTCAGTCTATCTGAAGTGGAAGGATCTGGATGGATTAAAATGCCACTAAGATCGATATGTAAATTGTTATTTTTATATTATTATCATTATTCTTAGTGGGATGAGACTGAGTCTATTTGGTACTGCAGCCACTACTGGCCTATTGTACCAGCCCCAGATGATAGGTGAGGGTGGTTGTGGAGCAATTGGTGGAATGAAGGTCGGCAGGGGAAACTGAAGTACTCGGAGATAACCTGCCTCAGTGTCACTTTGTCCACCACAAATCCCACTTGAGGAGATCCAGCCTCAAACACGGGCTGCCACAGTGGGAAGCCAGTGACTAACCGCTTGAGTTATGGCGTAGCCCATGTACATTATTAACATTCATGATATAAGTCTGAATTCTGTATATGGAAAATCAGAATCAAGCCATAAAAAAAAGACTCCGTGATTTTAGTCCGCAAGTGAACTATACCGATTGAGTGACCACCACTTGTCGGCGAAGTTTATGCCAACTTTTGAGGATAGAGGGTGTCGCGTGGTCAGCACAACGAATCCCCGCGGCCGTTAATTTCGGTTTTCTAGACTGGAGCTTGTATTTCCTTGAAATAGCTCCTCAGTTATCATCAAGAGGCTGAGTGGACCCCAGGAATCAAGTCATACTATCATCAAACACATATTGGAGAAAAGCACAGTTTATGAGAGTCTGTGCACCTGTCTGCTCAGTGTGTTTACTCTTCACCCATATTTCTGCAGTTAGATGAAGTGGGTTGGAATGAAGAAATCAAAATAAGAGCATTTTAGTTCTTTATTAGTTTTTGAAGGAACAAATATTGTGTAACAGGATAGGAACTATATTTTTGGGAAATGATCTAATTAAAGGCTCCAAAGCTGGTACAGATTTGTACAGTTTCAGTCATGAACATACTGTGAAGAAATTTGACTTAAAGATGATAAACGTTTTGACTTGTTGACTCTGAATATAAGTGTGATATTACTTGATGAAATGTGGAACATTTATTTTCAGCTGTATCTGCCAGTACCAATAAACTGCCCAAAGGAAATCTATGATTTGATGTGTGAGTGCTGGCAGAGAAATGAATCAGATAGGCCCAACTTCAGAGAGATCCACCTTTTCCTACAGAGGAAGAATCTTGGCTACAAACCAGACATGGACTGATGAGGCATTCTTATAACAGTGTAAGCGTGAATCTTGCATCAGTATGGACGAAATAGGATTTCGACATCATGAAATATGAGTGACTGTCAGAACTGCTGTGATTAGGATTTGTCAAATGGAAACTAAAATTTGCCTGTCAAGACTATGATATTTTTAAGAGCAATAAGTGTGGAATCTTATAAACTTAACTTTTTTACATGCTACACTTAAATCCATTGTGTAGGTTTTTCATTGCAACTGTAAAAACATGCCCTACTCTTTACCACATGTTAATAATGGCACAGCTTCACATAAAAACACTATTTTAATGTTTTTAACAGTGGAAAATTGAAATATTGTATATCCATTTTCCAGTTTTACCAACTTGGTTTAGAGGGAAATAGGGTGCCTATTTGATGATAATACGTTATACAGTCAAGTCTGTGGTTAAAATGACAGTCTCGTGTTGATACTCGTACATCAGGAATGGAAACAGCTACGATTCAGATCACAATCGTCGTCATCATCATTATAGTGAGTGTAGTGTTGACTGCATCTGCAGGCCCAGTTTTGTTATTTCCTTATATCTTTTCCAGTGGCATGATGATATATTCAATTACCTGGGGCAGGGTATTTCATATTTGCAGATAATTTTTAACATATAACTGTTAAATTATGTTATTATAGATTAAATTTTAATTTCAATATTTAACACATTATAATTGACAAAATATATAATCCTTATAACAAAATTTCAGTGGCATAAAAGTGATAATTGTAACAGTAACATCTGATGATTCTTGTTTTATCCATTCTTAATATACAAAATTCACCAATGAACATTCATGAAGCACAGAAATTATGATTATCCAGGATGTAATATGTGGTAGATGGCTACCAGTGTTCAGAGGGATCTGCCATGAAGATGGGAGGCAGCAGGTTCCTCTGAAAATCTGGTATCAGCTTACCGAATAACACATAATCACATCTGAGAAGACCAGAATTCTGATACTGACCCCTGCCAGACCTCAAATCGCACATACTGATCCCAGATAGAGATTTCTGTAATAACTACTTTTGGATGATAGTGTCAAGTTGCTTTTGATGCTGTTTGGTGTCAGACTTGTAATAGCTAAGAAACTATTTTATGATTTGATATAAATTTAAAGGCTTTGAAATTCCCTCTTTTACAATATGAAACTCAGACTGGGTTTATTATAGGCATGGCTTAAATGTTATCCTGATAGAGATTACTGTGTTATATTATGTGATATTGTGTAGTCCCACTGATCATTGCAATTATATGTTAATGATATACCAGATTACACAGTGTCACATCTCAGGAAACAGCAATCTTTATAGTCACCATCATCAGAACCTCAAATCACACATAATTCTTCTGATTTCTGGCTCTATCTTATAGTTCAACATCACTGGAAAATATCACCAGACTTTGAGCCATGGGAAGTAATATAACAGATACAATGTCAGAAATTTCCTAACACTCTTACTAACTTAAATAAAGCTCGACTCATTACTGCATTTGCCTTAACATACAGAACATTAGATATCTACCAGGGTTGCTTACAGGGAAAGCATTAGACAGAGGAAAGCAAAGCACTCTAAATTACGATATTAGTCACCAGCCCTAGGTATTTTTGTTGTGCCACTGGTCCTCTTCCTTCAGATGACTTCATCACAAAAGCAATTGCTGTGCCTTCTGTCTTAGAGTCAAACAATATAGGTGGTATCAGTGTATTTGCAAAATTAATTATTTTTTTCTGATCTGACTTCATAGTTAATTACACACTAAGTTTAATTATACTAGAATTTTAGTGGTAATTCAGCAGACTGGAACATTAATGCTTTAAAATACCACCAGATTTTGGATATCAATTTAATGCTGGTGTTAATGTTGTGTGCATGGGAACTTATATCCTGTAAGTTACAGATTATAGAAATTAAACCAGCTATTAATTTCTGTAAAAAGGAAAATTAGTTTCAGAGTCCCAGTATTTGTATATTTCTTTCGTACTTATAAGTTAAAGAATTATCCACAAAATGACAGTTTGTCCTCATACTACTCGTATGTTATCATACATAAAGTTAATGTAAAATTTAAAAGGAAGTGGTTGCAACTAATTTGAAACAGATTATAGAATGTCTACATTAATTTCTCTGTATCTCTGTACAGTGCATAATAACTATGTTGTCGAACTGTTGGCCAAAGACAAAATTGATTTCTAGATTCTTGTCTTTTGGTATGTCCTTTCTGATGGCCCAGATTTTGAGGAGAGGCTAATAGGCTCTTTGTTACTGTTTGATCTAACATTTTGTTTACATGTATTCCAGTTCTTATGTATGGATTTCCACTTCATTTACTGGAAAATTTTTCTTGGATGTCTTAATGTCTTTGAGTACAATGGTAAATATTGTTTTATAACAAGCATGGAAACTATAAAATTGTATTTGTGCATATCAGAACTAAGATAAATTGTAACTTTTGTCAGTAACTTATAATTACAGAACTGAACAGAGATTAAGTTAATGTGTGCAGTGCCTATGAATATTTGAAAACTCATTAATGCATGCATTATAGGACTACTAACTTCAGTGGGAACATACTGGAAGGATAAATGGTTTGAGAAACATACATAGTCATTAGAACAATATATAATTTGCATAAAGAGTAGATGGGTACAAGGTTGTTGATTTTTCATTTGAAAGTTGATAATTAACTGTTGAGAATTAGTAGTGTTTGTGATACATTGCATTTGAATAATCAGATTTAAGCATATTAAATCAGGCGAAGAAGGTTAATTTGGTTTGGGATAAGACCATATGAAAGTTGTTACATTTTGAAGTTGGGAAAATATCTGTAACTGTCAACTGTTGACAGTTATTGTAATGCCATTAGAAAGGGCACATGTACACACACAAAACCAAAAGTCACAAAAGTAAATAAAAGAAATAGTGAAGTTCAAAATTTATGATATGAATATAAACTTGTGGAACTATGATCTGTTGAGATTTTACAAACATGCACACACACACACACACACACACACACACACATTCTACAAGTCACAGTGAGAACAGCAGTAGTTCAGCTGAAAATATCTTATGTGAGTTTGAAACTTGGAACTGTGTAAACTGTGGAGTACCTTTACCAGTGTTTACAACAGATTTTAACCCTTTAATTGTACTGCCGAAATTATGTAGGTCTAACTCAGCATTAGTTTGTTCAGCTTGTGTGTAGGAGGGAGATATCGTTTGGAACCTTGACCAGCCCTGGCTATATTGATTTACTTTCTTCTTTTTATGCAAACCTCAAAGAGCAGATTAAATTGTGAGTAATGTTTGCTACTGTTCAGTTCAGAATCTTCTGTCTTATTATCTGATGTCTAAAAACATGAAAATTAAAATATAAAAATTTATAATTTTGCCAGTATTTTTGTACGGGTGTGAAACCTGGTCTCTGATGTTAAAGGAAGAACACAGACTGATGGTGTTTGAGAACAAGTTGTTGGGGAGATTATTTGGACTGAAGAGGGATAAAATATTATGAGCCTGGAGAAATACACATAATGAGGAACTTCATAACTTGTGCCTGTCATCAAATACAATTAGAATGATCAAATCAAGTAGGATGAGATAGGTAGGGCATGTAGCATGCATGGGAGAAAATAGGAATGCATACGAGGTTGTGGTAGGAAAGCCAGAAGGAAAGAAAACACTAGGAAGACCTAGACATGGGTGAAAGGACAATATTAAAAATTGATCTTAGAGAAATAGGATGGAACGGTATGGACTGGATTAATCTGGCTGAGGACAGGGACCAGTGGTGTACTCTTCTGAACACAGTAATGAACATTCTGGTTTTATGAAATGTTGGGAAATTCTTGAATAGCTGATTAATGGTGGCTTCTCAAGAAGGGCTTGGCTCTATGGGCTTAGTTATTTAGGGAAACCTCAATACTTCATTCATTCATTCATTCATTTATACATACACAATTTGTGCTGAATGCGAATGGCATTAAAAAGTACATTTTCTTGTATGACAAAAGAGGGAACTCTTCTTCAGAAGAGTGCTGACCAACTACATCCCTGTTCATGTTGTCTGCGCTAGCACTATGAGAAATTTCATTGGACTGCAATTTTCTCTCATTACACATTTACATTGAACACAACCAGAGCTGGGGATCAGTGTGTCCCATGGTGACAAGTCAACTCATGTTACAGCAGAAATATTGACATGTTGAAAGAGGGGTAAAGTAATATAAATGAACTTCCACGAATTAAAAAATAATAGACCCTCCTCTGACGTAAGAATTTTTATTCAGTATCAAAATGATTTGAATTTAAAATATTCATGGATCTCTTAATTACACTGAGTCAATAAGTTGTGCTGCCTATAATGATATTATTTCTTTTAACTGTATTTGCATGGCCACTGTTGAAAACAAAGTTAATTATGAAAGTAATAGTCATTCATTTGTTGAAAATGACTTCGATTATTAAGATTATCACACTGTACTTTACTTTAATTTCATTTTTGAAGCAAAACGAGAGCTGGTCACTGCCTAGTTGGCTGTCTTCTTGAAGATCCCATGGGTCCTGTTTGGCTGTTTTCTTCTTTCATGCAGTCATTAGCAACATGTATTACTACAAAATTACTTGGAAGTAACAAAGAATAGTTGCTTTCTGAAAGAGAATTTCTTGTAGACATGACCAATGCAGTTCACAACTTCATTCTGAGCAGAAATGTCTTAATGTTTTTATATTGGTTCATTTATGCTGTTACATTATTGTAAGCATCTTTCAGTTGTGTTTAAAGAAAAGTTTTGTTATCCTGTGCAGTTTTACATTGTTGTCTTTACCTAAAAATACATGAATTAACATCATGCATTCCACCTGCAAAGTGGTGGATAATGCTTAGAATATTGTCTTATTGTGGCATTTACACTTGTAATGAAAGAAGTGATTAGTATAATTCTGAAATGATAAACCATGATGTGAGTTCACTTCAGTTCTTGACAATCAGCATAAGAAGAAAGGCTGAAAGGTATTTTAATTTTATATGATTAATTAATTCACTCTACTGAAGTTTTCTTGAACAATTTTGACTGCAGGATTTTAAAACTTGGAAGTTCTAGTGTAATCTGAAATTTCAGTCTCATTTTTTGTATCACATCAAGGGTCATGTATGCAGGACTTTCTGTTTGTTGTATGCTAAACTTAGCATACAAGTGATTTTACATATATGGATGCATTTAAAATTCAGCTCCCCTATTTGAAACATGTGAAATATAAACAACTTTGAAATATATGTGCAGTATATTTAAAGAACATTTCTTGAAAATATATTTCTGTGGTCTGTTGTGTGAAAAGTCTATGGCACAAATTTTATTGGCCTGGTGGTCTTGTAATGTGCTTACAAAATCATATTTCACTTGTAATCATAATGTCTGTACCCTTCATGTAAATTTAAATGTATGCTCTAGGTTGAGCAGAAACTGTGGATGTTCCACTTAAACAGTGAAGATATTGCATTGCCAAAAGGGACGCTCAAAGTTTATGGTCTGAAAGATTCTGTTACGCAAAATGATTTAAGTTGTCTTTTCCTGCAGACCATACTGAATTACATTTTAGGAGAAAGCTCTTTGGAATCATTAGAACCATACTTACACTTCTTTCAGAACTACCTGCCTGTAGGGTATTGTCAATTCTGGTCATACCATCCAGTTAGTTTGTATGAGAATGTTGGTTCTGGAACTGCAGTGGTATCTATGTTTGAAATGATATTATGACTGAATAGAATTAGGGATTAAAGTTATCATTGAGTGAAAAAGTTTGTTGCAGTGTTTTAAGGTTGTAAGAATGTAACTGTAAACAACAAAAACGAATTTGTAAATAATGTTATGTATGGTGCCTCAAGTCTACTATAAAAATCGACTATAATAATACTAGATATTCTGTAAGCACTGAGATATGAAATGATATTCTAAGCCTACCCCTAATATGGAGAGCCATATCACTTTCTACTGACATTGTCATCTTATAATCATGTAAATAATCCTTGTAAAATTGTGCATGTTTGAATGTTCACTGTACAGATAGCATTTTTTATTATTATTATTATTATTATTATTATTATTATTTGCTTGTCATCATGATGGAGGTCATAAAGTGGCTTGGCTGATCTGGACCAAATTGTTTAAGAGTCAACTAAATTATTTATCTAGACAACTTGTGATAATCAATTACTAAGTAAGCTGATGAAGATTAAAGAGTTGCAAATTGCTGCACATTGATCTTATGGAGTGTGACTGTATGTTCAGTTTTCTTTTCATACCTTGTTTTCCCTGTTATCAAGTGCACCCAGGTTCCTTAGTTTGGGTGGTTCTAGCATTAAAGTTAAGGGTCTTAGTGAAGTTTCCTTTATTCCAATGACACCAGTCTGGGCACTCATTATGCATAGATTTTACTGAATCTCAGGTTATTATGGCATATGGCATGAACAGAATTGTTCGTTGAATTGACTGCATTGAG